TTAAACCGTGTATAGATAACGGATGGATGGATGTTAGTGCCTCACAAGACAGCAAAGAAAACGAAATCTGAATTTAACAGGTGGATGAAAACGCAACACGATGTATAAAAACTAGTAGACATTTGGAAAAAGTGAAGCACCTCAAAACAAATCAGACAGTTAAGAGGAAAATAGAACTTAGTTGAAATCAGGTAAAGAGTCGCCTCGCTGCAAACACTCTGTAACCGTCAGTTTTCAGTCGGGCCTCTGGAAGGAAGTAAAAACCCTGAGAATCAATCTCAGCGTGTGGTGAACGGTACGGTGCTGCATGCTTCCCTGGTTGTCTGTCTCCTCAGTTAAAATGAAACCTGCCCGACTGCTGTTCAGTGAACCAGCACCTTCACAAACTGCACACCTGATCTCACCTGTGTGTCTGACTGCAGCACGACTCTCCATTAAACACGTAGGAGACGCCGCAACAACGATCTGATTAGTCTATCGTCTGACTGTGACATGTAAACTCTGTTTTGTTGGAAAACCTATTCGTCCTGAATAAAAGAACCCATTTCTCTGCTGCCTCCTTGTTAATGCAGCTGTTTGTGCACCACACTGACTCAGCCAAACTCACTGTCGGGGGTCAGAGGTCAAAACAGACGTATGAAACAGGTATTTGATTCCTGACTGGGCACTTGGTGGAGTAACCCTTGTTGAAAGTGTTGAGACCACTGCACAACCTTAGTGAGCCTTTCCTTTCCTTAGAAAGAGCTCAATTGGAGCTGTGTAACACATTGGAGGTTCTTATCTGCAAAGTTTTGCTTTTTATTAGTTTTCCTTTAATTGGGGCTTCTTAGATGAAGTTCAACAGCACTTTCTTTCTTGGTATTTCTATGGCACACTGTGTAAATGATCTGCATTTATATATAGTTCAGTCCTGTGGTCTGATGAAAGTAAACCTGAACTGTTTGGCCTTAATGACCATCGGTACATTTGGAGGAAAAAGGAGGAAGCTTGGAGGCCAAGAACACCATCCCAACAGTGAACATGATGTGGAAATATTGAAGCAACATCTCCAGACATCAGCAGGAAGTTA